TGGAAAGAATCCTATGAGATATGCCATAGCACATGTGTCAGCTTGACAGCAAAACAGAGTGCCAATCTCAATCAATCACAAGGCAGCTTTGAGTGATGATTTGCATGGACTGGAAGAGATGATTGAGGCCCAGAATATCAAGTATATAAAGGAACGAACCAAACACACAGAAAAGAGGCAAGGAATGCTACACATGCTTTAGACATTCAATCAGATCCTAGAGAGAGAAAGTGGGGGAAACACATAGAGAGAATTTGAGGGTTCGTTGAGAGAGATCCAAGGAATAAAAGGGTGAGGCTAGGGTTTGGTAGAGAGATCATCAAATCCAGTGGATCCCTGCACTATTCTGGCGGCTGAAGCAAGGATGGTGGTGGTGGAGCCTACAGTAGCTGCGAGAGCAGTGCTACAGCAACGTCCCTGTTTTCTTTACTTTAGTTTAATGGAATCTTATTCTTTCTTTGTTGTTTCTTCCCACCCAAGTATGGGCTCAATTGTTATGATAGGGTGATAGAGTACCCTTATTGTGATGTAATCAGTTTGCCTAAACTTTGCTATATGATTGTCCTTTTAGTTGTTTAATAAAGTGCTTATTTTTGTTCTTGTTGACTTATCGAGAGAGAGCTGCAAGATAATTAGGGTTTGGGCTATAGAGATATAGGTGAACTCAGAAAGTTATTAAGCATTGTGGTTTAACTAATTTAATTAGTTAATTGTGGGTAGAGAGATCATTAACACCACAAAATCAAATGGAACTTGCACTTAATGATTCATAACTATGTTGGCCATAGAGATGTGGGACTTAGTATACATGTAGAGTTGGTGAGAGCCCTTGCATGCATTAGTGTTTTGGTTACTGAATGGATAATTGATGTAGCATGGTTACTGCATTCTGGTGAAGTTGTAATAATAAGGAAATTGATCCCAATCTATATTTAATACTTGGAAAACCTATTTTATTACTGCATTCTCTTAGTTAATCATTAATCTTAGTTTATTTTATTTCTTAATTGTTAAATTAGACATTATCCAATTACAAATCATTATTGTTACCTTAATTGCTTCACATTGATCCTAATTTTATAGCTTTCTTCGTGGGAACGATATCTGGACTCACACATCCACTTTATTACTTGTTGACACGTACACTTGCGTAATGTGTGATTGATAAAAGGGGTACACAATTGCACAACAAAATCCTGCCTGGTTTTGATTCTATAAAGGGAGAAAATAAAGTTTGTAGATTAAAAAAGGCCTTGTATGGATTGAAGCAGTCACCTCGTGCCTGGTTTGGAAGGTTTACTAAGGTTATGATGACCTTAGAATACAGACAGAGTCAAGGAGATCACACTCTTTTCTTCAAGCACTCCCATAATGGGAAGCTTACTGTGCTCCTTGTATATATTGATGATATTATTATCACAGGTGATGATTTTATGGAGAAACAGATTCTTCAAACACGACTTGCCTTTGAATTTGAAGTCAAAGACCTTGGGAAACTGAGATATTTCCTAGGGATAGAAGTAGCTCATTCAAGGAAATAAATTTTTATCCGCTAGAGAAAATATGTTCTTGATCTTCTCAAAGAAGCAGGAAAGCTCGGGTGTAAACCCTCTAATACTCCTATTGAGCAGAATCACAAGATAGGCTATGAAGAGGAGAGTCCTCCAGTTGATAAAGGACAATATCAACGGCTAGTTGGAAAATTGATATATTTGGTTCATACTAGACCAGACCTATCTTATGCTGTTAGTGTTGTCAGTCAGTTTATGCACGATCCAAAGGAGAAACACATGCAGGCAGTAGAGAGAATTCTTCAATATCTTAAAGCTACTCCTGGTAACAGATTGTTATTCTGACGTGATGGCAATCTCTCTTTAGAAGTTTACACTGATGCTGATTATGCTGGATCCGTGACTGACCGTCGTTCTACCACTGGTTATTGCATGTTTCTTTGCGGTAACTTGGTGACATGGAGAAGTAAGAAACAAGATGCGGTCGCCAGATCAAGTGCAGAAGCTGAATTTCGAGCTATGGCTCAAGGCATTTGTGAGTTATTGTGGCTAAAAATTATACTTGATGATCTCAAAATAAAATATGAGGGATCTATGAAGCTGCTATGTGATAATAAGTCCACTATTTGTATAGCTCATAATCCAGTTCAACATGATCGGACTAAACATATTGAGGTTGATCGTCATTTCATCAAAGAGAAACTTGATAGTGGGCTGATTACCACTCCATACATTTTCACTGGGCGTCAATTGGCTGATCTATTAACAGAGGGACTTTCTTCAGACAGATTTCAAGAACTTACTAGCAAGCTGGGAATGATAAATATCTATTGCTCAGCTTGAGGGGGAGTGTTGTAAATATTGGTTATTTAATTATTATTATTTGTTGTATTGGGCCAAACCCATTAGGTCAAGTATTAGGGTTTTCATTTTCTATAAATAGAGACCTCTTTGTACATATTAATTACACAATTCAATAATATCTCAAATACCCTTTTCTTTCATGTGGACTGCACATCAGCGTACAATGTCATCATTGGTCGACCTATCATCCACGTCCTCGATGCAATGGTCTCAACAATTCACCAAGCAATGAAGTTTGTGTGGACCAAAAATGAAGTGATCACAATCAGAGGAGATAAAAAAGCCTCACAAACCTGCAATTGTAAAACAATGAAAATCACAGCTGGAAGATCGTCCTCACCTCCTTGCATGCTCAACGAAACTCCAGAGTAGTACACCATGATTGGAGGGACCCTAGAACTTGGACTCAAGGAGAAACTAATTTTCTTCTTAAAGAAGAACAATGACTTATTCACTTGAAAGTTGTCTGATATACTAGGTATTGACCCAGCCTTATGTTGTCATCACATTCTTATGTATCCAGATGCCCTGCCAAATTTTCATAAGAAACGAAAGATTGAACTATAACGCAGGCAAGCAATGGAAGAACATGTCAAGGAACTCCTGGAGATTGGATTCATAAGGGGAATCTAGTACATAACCTAGCTCTCTAAGATTGTGTGAGTAAAGAAGACAAATAGGAAATAACACGTATATGTAAATTACACCAATCTAAACAAGTCTTTCCTTAATTTCAAAAAAAAAAAAAAACAAGTCTTGCCCTTAAGACTCAGACCCCATGCTTATTCAGGCTATAACTAGATCTCAATGCACCCAACCTCATAACCAACAAATGAGGAGAAGACGACCTTCATAATTGAGAAGGTGAATTATTACTATATAGTGATGTCTTTCAAGCTCAAGAATGCTACCTAACAACGAATGATGAACAAAGCTTTTGAGAAAGAAATTAGAAAAATCATTTAAGTTTACATTGATGACATGATTGTGAAAACCACTAACTTTGAAGATCACGTGAAACTACGAAGCACCGACACTTCAAAAACTCTGATGTATCGTGTCCGACACTTCCCGATACTCTTCGACACTCCGACACTTCCCGACACTCTAACACGTGTTATAAAAATTCAAAAGAAGATTCAAAGGTTGCAATGCTTTGAGTTTTTAGTTCCAATTATTAGATTCATTGGATTACGATTATCATTTTATTGAGTTTAATATAAATATTTAAGATATCTTATGTTTCTTTGCAAAATTGATGAATATTATAAGTTTAGTTTCATTTTTTTTTTGTTAAATTATTGAAAATTAAATATATACACTACATAAATTAAAAATATTATTTAATATCAAAATGTGTCCTAACGTGTCGAAATCTAACATTTTTTAGAATTAACGTGTCGGAGTGTCGTGTTGTATCGTGTCTCGTGTCTCGTGTCCCGTGTCGGTATCGGTGCTACGTAGACGTGAACAACCTCTATCAAGTCTTTGCACATCTTCGAGCTCATCTCGTACGCCTCAACCCACTCAAATGCGCTTTAGGAGTCCAAGTTGAGAAATTCCTTGGAGAGTCATCGAAGCAAATTCAGAGGAGAATAAGACTCTAAGACTCCGTAAAGAATTGATTTTGTTTAGTAGGAATGTGTCTTTTTTGGGTTTTTGACCAAATATACAATCTCTACTGTTGAGATATATAGTCCCACATTAATTGTATGAGCAACTAATATGCAGTTTATAAGGCCTTGGGGACTCCCACCCTTTGAGCTAGCTTTTGGGGTGGTGTATCCCAAGGTTCTTTACATGGTATTAGAGCCTCGTGTCCCGGGTTCGATCCTCGCCGCCCCCCACTTTCTCTTGTGGAACTTCTTAGCACAGGTAGGCTGGGCCTGTTGCATCATCCACTCTTCTAGCCCAATAGGCTCTTGTGTGAGGGGGGCGTGTTGAGATATATAGTCTCACATTAGTTGTATGAGCAACTAATGTGGAGTTTATAAGGCCTTGGACACTCCCACCTTTTGAGCTAGCTTTTGGGATGCTGTATCCAAAGGTTCTTTACATCTACTTTGCTGTTCACGGAATGCGACTTGCTTTTTAGGGAAAAAGTTCATAAAAGTAAATAAAAATTGCAAGTTTTATGTGCATCTCTAGTATCTAATATGAAGATTGAAGAAATTCATGTCAATGAATATAGAAAGTTCTATCTTTATCACACTACTAGATTCTTTCTTAAAATATAGCATTACTCTTTTCCTTAACACGAGACTTTTCCATGATTTGTTCGATGAAATAAGTTTACTAAATGTTTACTCGTTTTTGTACATGATGAATATTGAGATTTTATTAATTAAAATGCTTGTGTTAATTTCTTGAAATGTTAATAGGGGAACACTTCAGGCTTGGTATAAACTCAGCACAAAGAAAAATGTTGTGAGAGCAGTCACCATTGCTGCAATGAAAATCTGGAATCAGGACCCCAGCAAAAACGGCAGAAAGGAACCAAAAAAATGTAGACCTAGTAGATAATTGCATCCAATTAAGAACTATGCCAAATGCCTAGACATCTTGCAATTTCTTTTCCCCTTTTCATAGAATCGATAACTCGATAAAGAGTGCAAGGTGATACCATGGTAAAGTTATTTCTTTGTAATTAAAAAGCTTTATCTGTTTGAATCCGAGAAATAATCTTATTACAAATATATAAGGATAAAATTATATATAGGAAGATACAAAATTTAAGGGTTTTTTTTTTTGTTTTTTTTCCCATAACTTTACATTTAACTTAGAGGGTGTATGCTGCAACTGTTTAGTGCTTAACTAAATTTTAGAGGTTTTCAACCGGAAAACCAACAACAGGCCTAATTTCTGAAGCCAAACTTCGTAGCTCAGCTACCTCTTCATCAGTTAGTCTCCACCCAAGTGCACCTTTAAATTCCTCAGCTTGTTCTGCTGTCTTAGCTCCAGGAATTGGCACAACGTTGCCTTGTGCTACCAGCCAGTTCAGGGATACCTGACAAGAATATCATTTCGATTTTTATGTCAAATAGTGGCTTAGGAAAAGCGAGAAAAGGTGTCACTCTTAAAGGTCATTTGAAAAAGAAACCTTTTAAACTTACACATATGGTAGAAGGGAATGAATCCTCTCATGTCATCTTTATCTTTTAACATGACTATGTAATGTGAAAAATTATAAAACTCATAAAACGGAAAAGAGGAAACGATTATTATTTTTTTAGTACATAAAAGTTTAAGTGGAAATAGACATTAGTATCCCACTAGAGTTAAGGAAGACCCCATAACCTCTTTAAGGATTTCTGGAAGGGATTACATATCACTCACCAACAAAGTCCTCATATCGGCCAATGGGGTTTGAATCACGCTCTTATGGGATATAAACCAAACCTTTAACCAACTATGTCCATCTTTGTTGGTTTATTTATTTATTTTTAGTATATGATGCAATGATTATTTTATTTGTTGGTATTTTGATCTATAAAAGAATGACGGTATTTTTTCACATAAGAGAATTCATTTATGTGAAAGCTGCTTTCAATTAAAATAAAGATGTCAATTTAGCAAGATTTCTGAGCTGATCAGTGAAACATCAAATAACAAATTCTGTGTTATATGATGAGTCTTGGCTGAATTGTTAAGTACCACACATAAATGACAAAGTCAATACTCATGATCAAGTAGGGAAAATTTATTTTGATCCTGTAAGTTTCTGATATTGGGGTCTGGTTGTAGCAAATAAAGTATGTTCCTAGTGTATCAGTACATTGTTAAAACTGGCTGACACAAACATTATACCAATATTTCAAATGTTCAACTTATATAAGGGAATTAAAGAACAGTATGAACCTGAGTGGAAGTTTTATCATACTTCTCTCCTATTTCAGTGATCCTGTTCAGCAACGGTTGGAGCTGCAAAATAAATAAACACTTGATGAAGAAAGTAACGAAGTTATAAGTTATTAGATCTGCAAATTTCATAAAAGCAGTACCCTTGTTAGGAATTCTGGAGTATAAATTCTTCTTCGAGGCCCAGTTGGTGGTTTATCTGGAGTATACTTTCCAGTAAGAACACCTGCTTAAGATAAGGATATTGCATAAATTTCTATAGAAATTGGGTATGAACAGATTTCACTGTATGTTGTTGGAATATATTGCTATGAACATGCTTATTATGTTTGGGTATTATAATATGTTTTCTAAACAATATTTTTGAAGTAGGCAATCTTGCAAGTCAAGTTTACACCCCCTCCAAGAGTTTGTTTAAACTCTCGAGTTTGACAACCTAGTAATTTTCAAAATTAAAAAGTTTCGATTGATACAAAGACTAGGCCTGAACAAGAAATAAACCTAGAAGAAGGGTGCTACATTATTTCAAGCTGTTAGTATATGAATGTCCTAGAGACAATCTTTTGATTAGATTAGGACATATGTGGACCTTTTATTTTGTCACGAATAAATATAAGCACTCTTTATCCTGTTTCATATTTTGTCTCAATATTATTAATATATTATATGAGTAACTGGATAAACCCCTTGGAATGGAATAGGTATCTCTTGAGTATCTGTGATGAGATCACGATCATGAGGATTCAAGATACCAGATGTTTATTCCTAATTTTATGTTCCTAGTCTAGAGACACTGAGAATGGGGATCAGTAATCTCGAGTAAGACTAGCACGGCCTATCTACTTGTATTCGGATACAAGGTAAAGACCTCATGAGCTACAGATATGGAGATGTCTTAGCTAAAGTCGTGGGTGAACCTATAAGGGTATAACTCGCACTGAACAGACCCACAAAGAGACTCTATGAGGAAATCTTAAAAAAGTATCATTAGAGCAGTCTCTTAATATTTGGATATGTCTTTCCTTAGACCATAAGTTGTCACCTAGACTGTGTTCTAGAAGGCATGTTTTGATTGTATACCTCGTCTTCCTGAAACATGGAGACTCATAGGTATACTTTTGGGCATGTCCTGAAAGAGCACAGGCCTAGGGTGATAAGCTGAAGGAATTCGTCAAATCTCTGTAAGGGATTAGGTTATCTGTAAACCGGAGAAATCGGGATGACATTTACAGGACTCGGGAATCTATGCATAGTAAAAGAGATCATGAGATGATCTGCCTTTAGAGTCAGTAAATTGAAGATTCCCTATTTCGAATTAAAGCTTACCCTAAACCGCAAGGGTTGATACGTATCCTCACCCTAGGTTTAATGGGAAGGTAATCGAGATGAAAGGAAATACATACAGTAACCAAATATATGTAATAGGATGATCATGTCATTAACCTAACTAGCTTTGGGGCAACAAAGCATTGCTAGTGCTCTGTGTTGTCATTAAAAGAGTTGTGGGCTTGTTGGGCCCAAGCCCATTTATGTCAGTGGCTATGTTGGGCCTAATGGGTCACACACTAACACCTTATTGTCTTGATGCTATAGCATTAAAGGTATTGGGCCTAATAATGGTTGTTAGCCCAAGAAGAAGTTTGGAAGCCCTCCTAAGAAGGAAAGGGCGCATGGTAGTAGTAATGGACTTGGATGGTCCAAGACATTATTAATTAATTTAATTAGTTAAATTAATTATCAAATATTTAAATTTAGAATTTAAATTTAGAATTTGAATTTTGAATTTAAATGTTTGAACGTTTGAATTTAAATGTTTGAATTTGAATTTGAATTGGATGTGAAAGGTTGTTTCATAACAAAAGGATAAGATGAGATCTTGATAGATCAAATCCCAAGTATCAAGAGAAAATCTTTGGACATCTTCTAGCAAGATTGCGGCGCTGATTTGGTGATCCTTTGATGGTCATATGGTCAACCAAATAAGCTCCAATCAGATTTGGTTTGTTGAGAGAATAAGTGAGTGAGTTGGTTCAATTGGAATTGCAACTACTCAATGTATTTGGACTGTTTTTGGGCTGAAAAAGGGCGCACCAAATGGCTGGCCATATGATGGTTATTAAGTCAGATTTTTGACTAGGTATAGACTTAGTCTCATTAGGATATGATAGGAGGTTGTTGGCTAGATTTGAATTGCAACAACTCCACTTATTCCTCCACCATTGGGCGCTACATAGGTCAGATTTTTAGGAGAAAAATCTAATTCAAATCAATTTGATCTCTCATCTCCAAAAGTGCATCCTTTTGTTAGGTTCTCTTAAGGGTTTTTTCGAAAATTACCTAGCCTCTTCTCATAGAACTTCATGCGCCACTTTGTGAGTCTTCATGCTGAAAATTCACTCAACTAAACACCTTGAAACCTAAGCCTCTTTCTCTCCTATTGGACGCCCAGCTAGCCTTCCTTGTGGTGTTCGATTGGTGGCTTTTAAGAAGTATTCTTGCATCTTGACGTAGGGTGGTGTGGATCAACATTAGAGGGTTTGAACCTTCAAACCTTACACTGATCACTTTGGAGTTTTGAATCACGAACAAAGGTATCATTACGTCCTAAAGTACGTATCTTAATTTGCATGTGTGTTTCCGCTCTTGAAAAATTTTGTTTTCATCCTCACATGCCTACGGCCTTCAAGGCCATTTTCTTTCACAAGCATCCATGATCAAGTGCCTATGTTTATGTCAGAGGTTTCTCCCTATGTTTAAGTAACTAAACTAAAGTGTGCTGGATCATAAATTTTATTCTTTTGTCATGCCAACTGTGGTTTGGAAGATACATTTAATGTGAAATTTTCTTCTTCTTTTTTCTTAATAAAAAAAATTATAAAGTAGATATAACAAACATATTCAATAATGAAAAGGCGTTTACCTTGAGCAATTGGTGAATATGCGATCAATGTAATCCCAAGTTCATCACAGGTAGTCTTTACACCATTTTCTTCAGGAGCCCGGTAGATGAGGCTATAGTTTACTTGGTTTGAAGCCAATGGAATACCTCTTTTCTTGAGCTTCTCATAGGCCTCACGAAGTCGCTTTTCTGTTTACATAATAAAATGAATGTTAAATATATACTGATAGAACTCGACCAGAACTAGCTGAATAATGGCTGATTGACCATTTTGTTCCTCTTTTAAAAATAATTTATCACTTTACCTCCCTTTTGATACCATATATCAATATGCCCCCATTCTCAAATTATATACTTGTTTCACCAATGTTTTGACTGACGTTGTTTGACCAATTTGCTCATTTACTCAGGTAACTATTGGTCAAATATTGGTTAAAGTGGGGTAAATTGGTATAAAATTGAGAGGAGGGGCAGATTAATATATAGTTTGGGTTTGGGAAGAGGGGCAGAATGGTAAATAATTTTAAATAGGGGCAAAATGGTCAATCAGCTGCTGAATAATACTCCAATCTTTTCTCTTTTTATCTACCCTCCCACATTCTCTTCCAATCAATGCTCAGTCTTATGCATTAAAAAGTCATCCTCGGCTCCTCGCACATTCAGATGCTCTACATCAATTCATCAGCATTTTTTATGGTGCAAGCAGCAAGTGAATCATAAAGGATATTGAAGTTAAGGACAACTTCAAGGCAGCTATGAATCATAAAGGATTACCACTATAGTTTGAAACTCCAACAGCCTTTACAAGTCCCTTTTCAACAGCGTCACCCAGACCATCAATATAACCTGAAAAACAATTCATTGGCCAACTAAACATTCTCTTAACCTGATCATGAATAAATATATATACATCTGATTCCATTAACCATGTTAAATGTTCAATGAAATAGTTTTGCTACACTTGACAACCTTCATTTCCCCACACTCCAGGCCTGAAAAACAGCGCATTACTTTATCAACAAAGTATTCTTGGACAAAAATAATATCATTTAACAGGTTCATATAACATACAGACCAATGAAGCTGATAAAGATCCACTGATGCCAGTCCTAGTCGACAAAGGGAATCTTTAAGGGCAGTGAGAACACTTTGACGGCCAAATCTCCATGGCAGTGCAGCAAATTTGGTTGCAACTGCAACCTCAATGTCTGGATCCCTTTGTTTTCTTTCCTTAATAAATCTGCAGATAATAAACAAATGGAAGAACAAATGTGAACCTCCGTCTGTTAATTACAGACTGCATAAGAAAATCATACCAAAAATGTAACCATGTACCTTCCAAGAAGAACCTCTGAATTTATGGCTCCTAAAGAAAGCTGAAAAGAGGAACAAATCTTACTTTGGTGAGTTTGCACTTAACAAACAAACCTAGATAAGACATATACTCACCCCCGAACCGTAAACTTCAGCGGTGTCAAAAAAGGTTAGACCACCATCAATACTGGCATTGAAAGCATTTCTAGCAGCCTTCTCCTTCCTATCTACAATTACCACAGAGCGAAAATGAATACATTCATAATCTTACATTGTCCATTTAGCAACTATTCCAATCCATTCAACTCTAAGCATGATATATATTATCATAGATGAAAGGCCACTTTATGGTGTCTCAAATCTGCACCTTTTGTACATTAAAACATCTCATGAAACATTGAGTAGAAATTGAAAAGACAACTTTAAAACAAGATATATATAAAATTCTAATTTGAACACATGTAGAAGCTTTGTAATAAATTCAATTCCCAAGATTAATAAAAAATCCCTTCTAATCATCTACATAATAAGTAAACTGAACATGAATTTTTGCTATCATGACCAAACTCTCTATGAAACCCCACTTGCGAGGGGTACGAGTAAGGAAATCCTTGTATGCAACTTTACCGTTGTAGTTTTACAAAGTTGTTTCCTATTTGTTACCATGCCTATTGTGAATAGATAGAGACATTAAAATGGAACATCTACAGTACCAACAAATATATAATAGCAATTAGGAAATAAATTTGTGTGTTTATTTCTAATTATAAAGGAAGTTTATAAATCAAGCATTGTATGCCAGTGGCAGTGGTTGAATAGCAGCTTGCTATACGCGCCAAGTCTGCTATATTTTTATTAGATCTTTCTCTTTTCCCCTTCATCCTTTTTTACTTATTTTCTTCAATTTTAGTTTATCAGCTTATAACATTTCTATGCTAGATTTAAGCTCCAATTAAAGTAAGAGAGACTGAGTACTGGCAGTTCATCTGGAATTATCAGTCTCAGAATCAAAGAACAGACAAGAGTATTCTCTGAAATGTACTTGTTTCCGTTTCACTAGGATAGACAGCATTATTTATATTGGAGATGATTTACATGAACTATAAAATCATGTATTTGAATTCTTTTCATATCAATTCTTATTTTCACATTCACCTCTCTCCCCTTTTTAAGTACTTACGGTTATATTTCACCCAAACCTTCATGATATGAACACATATTAGGATTACTACTATGTTTTCAAGGAAGATAGCTTCTAGAGTCTACGTCACTCTTACAAGCTAACTATGCTATAGTAGCCTTATATAAATGTATATAAATGTAAAAATTAATATAATTACATGATTGACAAGGGATTTCAAATCTTTCCCTTTATTCCTTACAACTCCTGCCAATTTTGGTACAAAATTTATATTCCTTAAATTGGTATAATACAGCTAATAGTGTGACACCTTCGAATAATCATAACTAACAAAGAAAGCACCAATCCTAGAATTGCTGTCAACTTCCCCACCCCACCAAATTGGTAGGAATTGCTGCAAAGTCCAACAATCACCAACTTAAGTTTGAAAATCAGTTGACAATTTAGCACCAACATTCAAAGTTATTTTCTTTATATGTGAAACTCATTGCCTCCATAATTGATAAAGGTACAGGAAAAAAAAATAAAAATAGAAAAGTTACCATTCCACTCAAAATTGTTCCAATAAGTAGTATCTCCCCAAGACCAAGCTCCAATTCCCAGTCTTGTAACCTTCAAATCAGAACCACCTAACTTCACCTTCTCTTCCAGTGTCTTAAGAGTAGCAGAACCCTCTGAAGCAGTGGCTTTTACTCTGTGAACTATTGAGTGACCCGTAACAGTAAAACAAGCACTGCTTATATGAAGGGCCATGGGTGGCAATAAAAACCAGTTCAAATCCAATAATGGGTATGTGTGTAAGAAAGATAAAGAATCCAAATTTTATTGATGGACAAGTTCAAAAAGACAGAACTTTTTACACAGGTTCCTGGAGATAAGAGGGTAACAACTGAAATCCAGATTGTCCTTGGAAATTGAAGGGAAAATCTGGATGGGAAATAAGAGTTTGGTGAATGATATGTTTAGGTAGAATGAAGAGAAGGTTTAAAGTGCTAGAAGAAGTTTCTGTTTTGCAGAAGAAAGGTTTTGAAAGTGCACACGTTGTTCTAATCTGGTGGACACTGGTTAGATGAAACAAGATTACATGTGGACGTACGATAATGTTTCCAGTGTTTGACGTTTGGCACTTTCAAGTTTTTGATCAACTATATGCGAGAATGGCAATGTTGGGTCGGGCCACTATTATTATTAATTATTATTCTTAACTAATTATTCAAATGACTTTAAAAATTTAGGTTTATACGTACGTATTACGGTCTCACTGCTTAGTGCATTTTAGAAAAATTTATATTACAAAACGTCTTGCATCTTTTTCCTACTCCTAACTCAATTTTCTATATGTAGAACAATATAAAAGCGTGTGTTTTCATATATATATATATATATATATAGCAGAAAAATATTTTTGCAATTAATATAGATAAGTTATCTATATTTACTTTCAAAACGACGTCATTTCTGTCAAGCGGGTCCAGGGAAAAGTCCGTGGCAGAAGACCACCACTAATGGGCTAAGTGGATCAAATACACCAAATGGATTCGACATCACATCTCAACTCAAAACCTTAAAGCACTGTGTCATGGATTCATCCACTTATATACTTTTCACTTAGCTCATTACCAACCAATGTGAGACTCATCACACTTGAATATTTCAACAATCTTCCCCTCAAGTGTGAAAAATCAACACTGATATGCTCCCCCTCAACCGAGTACTCCAGGGCCCAAGTATTCAACCCGCCTCCAAGCTAATCACTAGGCTAGCTCGAGCCCAACCCGACTCTGATACCACTGTCAGGCGGGTTCAAGGGAAGCCCATGGCGGGGGCCACCACCAATGGGCTAAGCTACTCCAAATACATCAAGTGGGTCCGACACCACATCTCAACCCAAAACCTTAAGGCATTGGGTTCATGGGTCCTTTCAGTTATATATATACTTTTCACTTAGCTCATTACCTACTAATGTGAGACTCATCACACTTGAATATCTCAACAATCTCCCCCTCAAGTGTGAAACCCAACATTGTCAGGTAGGTCCAAGGGGAAGCCCGTGGCGAGAGACCACCACCAATGGGCTAAGTGGATCAAAAACACCAAGTACATATCATCTCAAAACCTTAAGGCATTGTGTTCATGGGTCCATCCACTTATATACTTTTCACATAGCTCATTACCAACCAATGTGGGACTCATCACACTTGAATATCTCAACAATCTCTCCCTCAAGTGTGAAAAACTCAACATTGATATGTTCCCCTTCAACCGAGTACTCTAGGGCCCAAGTACTCCAAGTTGAAGGAAAAGAAACAATTTGGGTTGATTAAAGCATAGGTCCTCCGGATTCAACCGCAGAATCCTTAATTCTTGGATTGATTAAAGAGTGCTTAGCCTAGCATGGCTAAGTCAAAACTCATGATTAAAAAGAAGAAAGCAAAGAGCAGAATAGAGAAGAAAAGAAAATTGTATTAATCTCTAAATTGTATAAACAAACTGAAAATAATTTAACAAAACTAAAAAAAAACTGAATAACAAAGTCTCCTAAGCATATCTTTATATAGAATCTACAATACTAACCTAATATAAAAGGAAATAAAAGGTAAATAATGAATTTGGGCCTCATAAATATTAGGTTCCCAATTACAAACTTAAATCTAATTAACTAATTAAAACTGCAGCAACTCATGACGAACTTGGGCTCAACTTTCTACCATCATACTATCCGAACTGGGCTTTCATCTCTTCATAACATTTGTAGCCCTCTGAATTAGCTGCAAAAAGCAACAAGAAAGGGGTCAATTGGACATCTGTGGAATGAGTTATGGTCAAAATACTACAGTAACATAAATCTGCATTGTTATTATGAATTCCTAAATAAACCTAATTAAAAACCCAACAACTAATTTAACCCAAAGACCATTATTTAAACACTAAACCATCCAAAAATCACTAATCAAGAGTAACAAATAAGTGTAATAAATATTAATTATCAAATTCCCCAACACTTATCCTTTTACCTCCTGAGCAAAATTAAAACTCGAAACAAAAACTAAAGGAATGAGAAAAAAAAAACAAAGCAAAAGACTAAAAGATAACCAATGCTTTCTAACAATTGATAAGAATACAATAATATGAACAAGGACCAAAAAGCTTCAAAAGATCAATCAATTAAGATAGAAATTTCTTCATCTTAAATTACAAAACATAGTAATCTCATTCAATAATGCTAATCACACAAGATGGTCTCTTATGGAATGCTCTCAATCAACCTCTCAAGTGTATAGGGTAAATTTGTGTATCACTAAGTTCCACTCAAGAAAATTGCCCTACCATAGGCTTGCTCAATTTCTACTTCTTCACTACTCGAAACACATGCATGCAAAAATCAAGAGGACTTTTTACAAGGTTGTATTGGGGCTAGGGTGAAGGTATGGAAAAATATGGAAATAAGAGACTAAGCACCCAAGAAAGTTTAAAGAGCACTAGTTAAAACCAAATTAAAGAAAAAAAGAAAAAGAAAAGACTAACAAATCATTCCTCTTTCTGTTTTCTATTTTTTTTATTGCTTTTCTTTTCTATTTTTTTTTCGGTGCTACTTTTTTTATCATTTTTTTTTCAGCGTTTATTTTTTTTTCAGCGTTTATTTTTTTTAGCACTCTTTTTATTTCTCTCTTTCACAATTCAGTGACCAAAATGCAATGCTTAGTGATGAATGGCATGAAATAAAATTCCTCCCGCCACACTTAAAATGTTGCAAGCCTCAAGCAACCCCCACACTTAAACACAAACTATGGTGAAACCAATGCTAAATAAATTTCCAAGATGCGGGATTACATGGTTTTACACTTTGGCTTGTAATGTGGCTAAGAAAAGAATGATATTAAAAGGCACAAAGGGGTTAACCAAAGGGAATATAATGCAAGGAGTGGCTATATGGCCAAAGTGGAAAAATAAAAGAAAGAAGGCCTCTATCATATTTATGCATGCAAGTGAAAAATGTCGTTCTAAAAAAAAGAGCAAGTTCTATAGAACAAAAATTATGAGGGAAAGCACACATGAAAGAAAGAATGGCATAAACATAAATTCCATTCATAAAGGCTCAAACTCTCACAAGGTTAATATCAACTCAAGCAATTAGCATCATGAATTCAACTACCAAGCCAATTAATCTAAAAATCAAGAACTCAGCCTAACTAGAATGATCCATCAAAAGCAACATGCCTAAGTTCACAACATGTATAGCTCAACAATTATCAGAAAGAAAAGGAAAATCCATTTATTGAAAATTAAAATTGAAATTAAAAATGCAAACAAAACTAAAGAAAATGTAAAGAAAGACTCCTTGTTCTCCTTAGGCAGGATAAGGGGCATAAGTGAGTCTGATCTCTGCCTCCACAAGCTGCTGCTGGGGTCCCTCATGAAAAAGCTTGAGGCGATCTCCATTCACAGTGAAGGTCTTCCCAGTTTGTTTGTCACATAGTTCAACTACACCATAAGAAAAAACATTAGTAATCTCAAAAGGGCCATCCCATCTAGATCTAAGTTTACCAGGCATAAATTTTAGACGGGAATTAAATAGGAGTACTTTCTGGCTCACAACAAACAGAATCTGCTTATCATGGAATATGCCTTTATTTTCTCCTTATATAAGCGCGAACTCTTATAGGCATCTAGTCGAAGCTCTTCTAACTCTTATAGTTGTAGCTTCCGCTCTGCCCCTGACTGAATCAAATCCATGTTGCACTGCTTAATAGCCCAATAAGCCTGATGCTCCAACTCAACTGGTAGGTGACATGCCTTACCAAAGACAAGCCGATAAAAAGACATCCCAATCGGAGTCTTATAGGTAGTCTGGTATGCCTATAAAGCGTCATCCAATCTCTTGCTCCAATCCTTCCGGCTAGAATTAACAGTCTTTTCGAGGGTTTGTTTGATCTCTCTGTTGGAGACTTCATCTTGACCACTGGTCTGTAGGTGGTAAGGAGTGGCAACCTTGTGAATCACTTCGTACTTCCGTAGCAAAGCATCCATGCTTTGGTTAAAAAAAGTGAGAACCCTGGTCACTGATGATAGCTTTAGGGATGCCAAACCTATAGAAAATGTTAGATTTGACAAAATCTACAACCATAGCAGAGTCATCAGTCCTGGTAGCTTTTGCCTCAACCCAATTGGATACATACTCAACAGCTAGCAAGATATAAGTAAAACCATAAGAAACAAGAAATAGACTTTAACATCCCGAGCGTTGACTAGGGCGGGGAGTGATCGCCGGTGCGCAAGGGCAAAGACAAGGAGCGGCTTCCAGCGGCGGGGGTACATGAATGAATCAAATTGACACCTGAAAGAGAGGGATTCCAAAGACTATGCAAGTATGAGACTGCATAGTTATGGATAGCTTAAAAAGAATTCATTTGTACTACCTATACTAACAAGATGCATCTACTTTTCGATAGCCCGGAATGGAAAAACTCCATAGTTAAGCGTGCTTGACTTGCAGTAATTCTAGGATGGGTGACCTCTTGGGAAAACTTTCCAGGAAGTGTGCGAGTGAGAAAAAAGCACACTGAAAAGTCTCGTGTTAGTATGTGGGGATAGTTATTGATTCTTGAGGCGGTCGGTCATTACATGGACCCATAAAGTCAATACCACAAACATTAAAAATCTCACAAAAGAGTATAGGTTGCTGGGGCATCTCATGCCTACGATAAATACTCCCTGCCCTCTAACAGCTATTACATGACTTACAAAACAGATATGCATCATGGGATAAAGAAGGCCAAGATAAACCAGAGTCTAACACTTTCCTAGCAGTTCTTTGGGGTCCAAAGTGACCACCACAAGCAGAAGCATCACAAAATTGCAAAACAGATTGAAACTCAATATCAGGTGGTACATATATCCTAATTACTTGGTCATTGCAAAATCTCCACAAATAAGGATCATCCCAGACATAGTATTTAGACTCACTTTTTAATTTCAGAATCTGAGCCTTATGGAATTAGCAAGAAAAACATTACCAACCAAGTAATTGACTAAATCAGCATACTAGGGAAGCCTAACTTGCAGCTGTAAAAGCTGTTCATCAGGAAAGTCATCCTGAATGGGGGCAGGGTTTGATGGAAGGTGAGTGATGCAGCTCAAGTGATCAGCTACCAAGTTCTCTACTCCACTCCTATCTTTAATTTCAATGTCAAATTCTTGGAGCAGCAACATCCACGGAATGACCCTAGGCTTAGCATCTGCCTTTTTCAAAAGAAACTTCAACGCTGCATGATCAAAAAAGACAATTATTTAGTATCAAGCAAATATGATCTAAACTTATCAAGTGCAAAAATGATAGCCAGAAGTTCTTTTTCAGTGGTGGTATAATTAGATTGGGCAGAATCCAAGGTTTCTGACGCCTAGGCAATAACATATGGGGGCTCTATCAATCCGCTGAGCAAGAACAACACCAACAACACCAAGTTGGAGGCATCACACATTAGCTCGAAAGGAAGAGACCAATCGGGCAGTTGAATCACTAGAGTAATGGTCAGGAATCACTTCAACTGATCAAAAGCCGACTTGCACTTATCACCAAATTCAAAATATGTGTCTTTTTGCAGAAGGTTAAACAGGGGTAAGGAAATCTTGCTGAAACTCTGAATGAAACGCCGGTGGAATCCTGCATGACCAAGAAAAGAATGAACTTTCCGCACAGATATGGGGTAAGGTAAAGAAGTAATAACATCTATCTTAGCAGGATCTACCTCTATACCTTTTCTAGACACTGTGTCCCAAAACTATCCTTGATTCAACCATAAAATGACACTTTTCAAAATTGAAAACAAGATTAGTCTCAATGCATCTACTCAAAATCCTGGCTAAACTACCCAAGCATGCATAAAAAGAAGATCCATAAGCAGTAAAATCATCCATAAACACTTCCAAGCAATCCTCTAAAAATTTAGAAAAATGCTTACCATACACCGCTGAAAAGTACCCGGCGCATTACAGAGTCCGAAGGGCATCCGTCTGTAGGCAAATGTTTCGAAGGGGCATGCGAAGGTGGTCTTTTCTTGATCTTCAGGTACAATATGAATTTGGAAGTAGCAAGAGTAGCCATCAAAGAAGCAATAATGAGACTTGTCAGCCAACTGCTCCAGCATCTGATCAATAAAAGGTAAAGGATAGTGATCCTTGCCGGTGGCTTAGTTAAGCTTCCGGTAGTCTATGCAAACTCTCCAACTATTCTGAGCTCTTACGGGGATTAACTCAATTTTTTGTTTGGCTACAATAGTAACACCAGACTTCTTAGGAACCACCTGAACTGGGCTGACCCATTGGCTATCACAAATGGGATAAATGATGCCAGCTTGCAAGAGTTTCATCACTTCTTTCTTCACTATATCTAAGATAAGCGGGTTCAAACGCCTTTGGGGTTGTCACACTGGCTTAGCACCTCCTTCCAATGATAGAAGGACTAATACCAACAAGATCAGCTAAAGTCCAACCAATCACCTTCTTATTTTCTTTCAATAAGCTTAGCAGCTTCTCTTCTTGATGAGGAAGAAGGTTTTGGCTATAATGACTGGCAGCTGCTCATTCTCCTCTAGTTAAGCATACTTTAAGTGATCCAGTAGAATCTTCAGTTGTAGCTTAGGGGGCTGCTCAGTGGATGGGAAAATCTGGTGGGTTGCACCAATTCTATAGTATGAACATCAGCCATGCCTGAAATGAAATTCTCAACAACAGAATTATTAACAAAGAAATATCAGCAGGAAAAGCAGGATCCACAATCAAATCAGAAGCATCAACAAAATTAATATCATAATCTTGAATCAATGCATCACTTAAAGTGGAAAAACTTGATAAATTTGTGTAAACAGTGCACCATTCACTATCAACTCAGCCACAACCAACAATGTCATGATAAGATGAAAAATCTGGATAATCAACAATTAATTCAGTAGAAACGTCATCAACAACCTCATCAATCACATCAATGCAGAAAACAGGATGCTCTTCCCTAGGATATTTCATAGCATCAAAGATATTAAAATTGACAATACTATCACCAAACTCCATGGAAAGAGTGCCAGAATATGTAACACCCCGTTTGCACCCGGTGTATTAAACATATAATGGTAATAAGCGCAGCTAAATAAATGAGAAAGCAAAATTTTTCCAATTATGAAAAATAATCAAATTACCAAGTGGATTTACTTAATTTTTTTTTCAAAAGTCGCCTGTATGTTAATTGCAAAAAATAACTACACAGAATAACCTCATAACATAAATAATGTATCAAGTCATGAAACTACAACACGTAGACCAGACATGTCCTGATACCGTAATACAACTCAGTCTGAATAAATACTGCTTATTCAAACGTGGCATAGACAACCCCATGCTCACCAAATAAAGCAACATAATCAGCAAGTCATGTATCAAATACAATGGCCATAAAACATAACAGCAAGGCATAAATCATGATAATATGGCAAGGTGCATGCATCATCTTAACTCAACTTCGGCCTCCTGCCACTAGAGGTCTCAACCCCAGAAGTACCTGTACCTGAAAATGTGCCCCACACGGGGTGAGATCTATAACGAGAAATCTCAGTAAGACAAGGGGTCCTCAAGGATCTTTCCATCCCAAGCTCACTTACATGTGTAATATAAGTTCTAAAATGGTAACAACAATATAATATCAAAATCTGTGCAATACAGCATATGTTCATGTCATGTATGTATGCATACTACTGGCTAGAGAATAAAAGGTAGGAATTACATACGTCTACAACCCACAGTACAAAGAGTCCACCATGTACCTCACACATAGAGTTACCTTCTTACATGTGGCCCAACATGCTAAAGAATTACCGTCTCGTGTGGAATACCCCACATACATATGCATATGGCAATTGCACTATAGTAAAATCCAGTTCAACAGCGTATCCAATATTCATCATATAAACAGATATATTTTCATAAAAACACATCATGCATATAAACCATTCCTCCATGAGGTATGGTAGAACAAGCAACGGATAAAACCGAGGACACGAAAGCTTAATTGTAGTGCCAAAATCCCTATCCAAATACTCGGTATACACAGACACACCAACAGTCACACAATCCAAAAATTGCAATCTATTTTATATGAAAACATAACTTATATTCAAAATTCCCAAATTTCATATCCATCGAGCAATGTTTTCTTTTTCGTTTACATCCTTCTAAATCATAATTATCGCATATTAACCGCACTATTATTGGCATTAATATTTCGCAGCAGTAATACTGACTCCCTAGGGTATCATACCCAAATGGAGACTTTCCCACATATCAAAACTGGTTTCTGATCATTCTGACAGGGGGTAATCGATTACCATATAGGGGGTAATTGATTACACAACACGGTAATCAGTTACCTATAACAGGGTAATCGATTACTCCACATGGTAATCGATTACCAAGAATAGGGTAATCGACTACCACGAGGATAGAACACAAAAACTACAGAATTTTCTACATAATTCGCGGGTTTCATGGCTTCCAAGGGTCCAAGGTTCCATTTTTATCAAAACAACAGTTCAACGTACGTGTTTAAACATCATGGTACCATATTTTACATGCATCATTAATATTTTCACACTTAACTTCACAAACTAACTCATTTTCAAGAAACTACAAACAAAATGACTTGTAGTTACATAGGGACCTTTGAAATCATAAAAATAGTGAAGCTTTGAGGACTTTGGAGGTGCTCCAAGCCACTGACTTGGTGGTGCACGAAAATTCCACTCCAAGGTAGGTTCTTTCCTCGCAAAGGTTGGTTCTTAGAGCTTTCTAGAGGGTCTCCAAGGCTCACACACTAAGAATAACCAAAGTTGGCACTTACCCATTGAATTCAGAAACTAAAAACCCTCAAGACCTAGCCTTTACTTCACAAGACTCAAGTTTTACAAGGTTTAATGGTGGTTCAATAGTATAGAAGTGGATAATGTGGGTTTTTGAAGGTGGGTTTTTGATCAAGTTCCATGCACAAGGCTCAAGCTCTCATGGAGGAAGAATGTGGCAGCCATGGAATCAACCTTGGGATCAGAAAAACTGACCTAAGTTTGAGTGTAAGTGACTATTTATATTAGTGTCCTCACTAATCAACAGTATTAGTTCTAATAGTTTCGCTAATTATTTTTTACCAAACTTAATATTCTGAACTTAGACATTTTTCTAGGAATTATCATATTTTTCTTATAATTTTTCGCAATACTTTACTGGTATGCATTTTGTACATAGTCGATATTAGTTCAGAGATCACCGCTCATTATTATCTTAGACCTTGATATTTTTCTAGGAATATTTATATTTTTATTATAATTTTTTGAAATACTTCGCCGGTACACATTTATATCGTGAAGTAGAACCGGTATTCACACTTTTCATTAGAAACACGATTTAAGCATGATTTGACCTTCTCGATAATTTTTCTAATCTTTCTATATTTATCCAAAGTCAATTATGGAATTATTTATTAAATTCATACTTAAATTATTTAAATTCATAATTTAACGGTGTGGGTTCTTACAGAATACACATCTATTTTGGTCCTAACAGTTTCATGAAAGGTCTCTCAAGTATGATTGTAATACTAGGAGTCTCACCCTTCATCCCTAAAATATAGAAATGAGCAAGGAAAATTAGATTATTCACCCTAACTAATATATCTTCAATCACCCTAGAAGGGTGAACACTACTCCTATTGTCTAACTGGACAATAATACCCGTAGCACACAAGGGACCAAGACCAAGAGATTTATAAACAGACTCAGGCATCACATTAATAGCAGCACCTAAATCTAACATGCAATCATCAAATTTACAATTTCCAATAATACAAGGAATAATAAATGTCCCTGGATCTTGGCACTTCTTAGGCATGGGTTGGATGAGGGCTGAGACATTGTGGCTCATGTTTACTTGTTCATCTCCCTTTAGCCGCCTCTTGTTGGTGCATAACTCCTTCAGAAACTTGGCATACTTAGGTATTTGCTGGATTGCATCCAAGAGTGGAATGTTCAATTCAACTTTTCTGAAGATGTCACTAATCTCCTTTTCTTGTTCTTTTTCTGCCAACTTCTTGGACTGAATGACTCTCTGAGGGAAAGGTAGAGGAAAGGCGGGTTTACCTTGTTTCAAGGCCTCCTTATTCTTAGACTAATATGATGATGGTCCAGCCTTATCCGTAGCTTGCTTTGGATCTTCCAGTTGCTTGCCAGACCTTAGAGATATAGCACTGACATTCCCCTTCGGATTTGGAATTGTCTGGGAAGGAAGAGAATTGGGCCCTTAAGGTTGGTTCTGACTCACAGAAGTAGCTGATTGCCTGATTTGAGTTTATAAGTTCTGAATTGATGAATCAGTTCGCTACTGGAATTGCAGATTATTAGTGGCAAGATGTTTAACCAAATCTTCTAGAGAAGAACCTCTACTGGGCTATTGCGACGCTGGTGGCTGCTGTGGAGGTGCAGTAGGTTGGAAATTCTACCTCTGCTGCCGAGGTAGGAACTGCTGTCTCTGTTAATACTACTCCTAATTCTGGTTTTGGTTCCAATTCAAGTTGGGATGATCCTTCCAGCCAGGGTTATAGGTGTTAGAGCATGGTTGTACTATTGTTGCTGCTGGTACTGTGGTTTACCAGGAAAAACTCATGCTACAACAACTGTCTGGTCTACTAGAGGGGCACCTTCTTGTAGACTGAGGCAGGCATCCGTGGGGTAGAGTGGATTGCAACAAATACTGCATGGGTTGCTCAGCTATGGAGTAGGAGGTTGCTCTGTCTGTGTCACTGCCAGCTGTCTCACCAGTGAAGTCAGCTCATCGAGCCTATTCTCTATTCTTTGATTATCTGTGCTCTATGCCACTGCTGCAGCTACTACTGAATTTTGGACATGAGGTGTCTGAACTTGGAGTACAACAATATTATTTGCTCTGGTGCCGAACTGTTGAGCATTTGCTGTCATTTCTGCTATCAATTCCTTGGTTGCATCATGTGTCTTGTTTATTAGAACTCCACCACTTGCAACATCTATCATATTTCTATCCATTGATAGCAGCCCTTCGTAGAAATACACAATTAGCAGTTGGTCTGGAATCTGATGGTGAGGACAGTTTGCGCAAAGCCTCTTGAATCTCTCCTAGTACTCATGCAAATTTTCCCCATTAGCTTGTCTTATACCACTTCTCTCCTTTATGATTGAAGTGGCTCTTGAGAAAGGGACAAACTTCTCCAAAAATAGTCTGGCCATGTCGTTCCAACTCTCGATAGACGATGGTTGAAGGTAGTATAGCCAATCCTTAGCTCCACCATCGAGGGGAAAATGAAAAGGCTCTCAATTTGATCTGCTCCTCATCAACTCCTTGCGGCTTCATGGTGCTGTAGACCACATGAAACTCCTTTAAGTGCTTATGAGGGTCGTCACCTGTAAGACCATAAAACTTTAGAAGCAAATGGATTAGACCAGACTTAAGTTCAAAAGTAGTATTAAGTTGAAGATAATGAATGCATAAAGGTTGATAGTCAACCTCTGGTGAAGCTAATTGCTTTAAACTTCTGTTATCCATTTTTTTATTTTCTGAATTAATGACACTACTATTAGGAAAAATAAAATCTACTCTACTAGAAGAACTAGAAAAATCAGAAGAATAAAAAAAATCAGAATGTTTAGAATGCTCAGAAACAGAGTCAAGTTCAATAGTGCTACTATAACTTAACCTACGAGCTCTCCTAGCAGCATGCAATTGTCTCTCTATCTCATGGTAAAGTTCAAACAGAGGACTACCACTACTTCTAGTCATGCATCATAAGGTGCTACAACAGGAAATGTCGCTATAAGCATACGAAACATACAAAAATTATGACAAACACTAAAAATTGATCCCAAAAAATACAGAAAAAATATCAAATGATTTTTAAAACTTATGGGACCATCAAACAAAATTCTAATCTTTTCTAGGAACTCAAAAATCAAATAATTTTTTTAAAAAAAAAATAGTAAACTATTGAATTTGGCTTGTCCACG